TGAACAGTTCGTTAGCGACCGCAAACCTTGTGTCGCGCGGCGGCGCGTGGCGCGTGCACAAGGCCGCGGGCGTGACGTGACGCTCTGTTACACCGTCACGCCGTGACGCGTCACGCTGTGACTCCCAAATGGGGTGGTTAGGTGACTCATGCGGCGTGAATGTGGTTTCTGTCGCTAAAAATGGTCACTAGAGTGTAATTGAGTGTTTTGAACGAATATAAAATCACTCTTTATCTACTGTCTAATGACTATTTAATTTGGAATGCGCGACTGCCCAATATCAGTGAATTTATGGCATTGAATTTATCCAGCTGAATTTATTTGATTTGAAAAAATATTCAACTAGATCGGCAATGATCTAGTAAAATTATTCGCTCGCGAGCTATCAACATGTCTACCTGCTTCCTGTTTACTGTTTTCCTTCCTGCTGACCTGCTTGCAGCCGTCGTCTGGGTCATTTGTACCCCACACCTCCGTTATTGACCTACCCTAACCCCTGCCCGCCTCATCTCTCTCACGTCTTCATCACTACGATCATCATCCGGCGGGCGGTCCCACGCTCGTTCTGCCGTACCGCCACTCACTGGGTCATCACGATCTCCATCTACATTACCCCGCCGGCCGACCTGACCTGACCTGGATGCAGCCACAATAACTGTCCCTTCTCTGCCACCGGGCCCAGAGATCACACATCAATAATTCATCGACTCTGTTGTGTCTCGAAGTGCCTGCTGCGGTTGGGGGTACGTCTCTGAGGAGTTTTTACCGAGCTGACCTCCGCTGGATGGCGATGACGCCAGCGGCTTGATGACGCTGTTGATGATGACCCGTGTCGTGATGACGCCTAGTGTTGCTAGACCCTTGACCCGTGACCTCTGACCTGTTGCTGACCCGTGCCCCGTGAAGTCGGAGAGTGGCGCGGTGTCTTGTTGAGGTGAATGATGACCTCATCAGTTGGAGCTGACCCGGAGGTGATGCGGTGTGGTTTCGTCGTGACCGGCCATGATTGACCCTGGTAGTGGCAACTCACTTGTCGCCGGCTCCCTGTATAACTAGCGAGGCTACTGGCCGAAGGAAGGCGCCTCTCTGATGAGCTAGCGATGCTGCGAAGTTATGGAAATCAAGTGTTGGAATTCGGAACTGGTAAATCTGTTGGCAAACGATTCGCCAATCGTGAATTTTTAATCAAAATTAATTCATAAGCATTCATAAGCAGCATTTCATCATTGCCTTTGATTTGATGCATTCATTTATTTTGCAACCACATACCTTTGCGTTTATCAATTCGGGACGGGCTAGGATGACTTACCAATCACAGCGTAGCCGCATTCTCAAGTTTGGCGCAGCCTTCTCCCATGGTGAGCACGCCAAGTCCCCAATTTGAACTGCAGCTTCGCCCCATTCATGACTTCTCTGGTTCCTCGACCACCATTCCCGGTCATCGCCAGTCTCATTACCTGAGCTCATTAGTCAGACTGTACGAGACTCGGGTCCACCGCGGGGGCTCCACCGGCCTTGGGAAGGCTCCCACGCGGGTCCACCGGCCAACGGTCGCCGACACTGCACACGCACGGGACCGTCCCGGTTCGACAGTCCCCGCTGTGCTTCGTCAGTTCATTTGCGCATGGCTGGCTGATTCGTTTCGGAATGAAGCGACGACGAGCTGTGTGAGGAAGGAAGCTCGTTGTGGTGAGGTTTGCGGTCGTGGGGTGAGTGAACCCTAAGGCGGCTCTAGCTTGCGGTGAAGCTTTGGTAGTAAGCTTCCACACTCGATGAGGGGTTGCGCACTGTAACGGGCACGTAGAAATAGTGGTTGAGGAAGCATATTAGGCATCATTTAATCTATGCAAACGAATGTGAGATGTGCTATCGGTGGCTTATGTTGCTGGGTTCAGTTCCGTTCCACACTGGCGCATCCAGCTGCCCGCTCTAAACCGCTCCGACTTCCGGCAGTAAGTCGTCGTGTCACACTTTGGTCGGCGCCGCGCCACGAAACAGGACGCGAAAATGAGCGCCGCAAAAACACGGCATGCATCACTAACTGGCCAACAAAAACAGGCACTGGGTGCACCGGATGCTAGAAGACCGGGTGGGGCTCAGTAGAGATGCAAAAATTGATACAACGGCTTGACGGAGATGCAAGCCGCGATACAACGGTGCCCCGAATACCGTAACGGGCAATGCTCCGCGCTCGTGGCGTTGTTGTCTCATGGCAGGAGAGGATAACGCTCGGTGGTTCAATTACGCCTGGAGTTGATTGAATGGGGCGAGTATGGCTGCCCGGGGCAAAGTAACGTATTCTTGCTAGTTCCGTTACATGAACTAAGGCTGGTGGGCATTATTGGAGCTCGGGGCTGGTAGCGCCGATCTTGGGTGGTTTCTTTGTCTAGACACGTTCCGTAGCTTGATTTTAGGCTTACTTCGAACGTCACAAGCGTCGTTCTGGTATTACTAATTATGCATTACTCATTTATTGCAAAATGTTATTTCCTAGCAGGGGCTGCCACATGAACCTTGCTGCCTTGAAACGTGACTGTAGATGCGGCGCTGGCGAATTACACGGAATGTGGCGCATGCGGCGAATATGGCGTGGAGCTCGCTTCCGTGCGGCTATTATCGTCGAAGGTGCCCGCCATCCGGCGCTGCCTCCGGGTCACCTGTGCCGACCTTTGGCCGCCGGCGGGGCGCCAGGTGGCTCAAAAGCGGGGCGTTTCGCTGCCGACCCAACGACCGGCGTGTCCGACGCGGGATGGAAAGTGGCCACCGGCACCGGTGGCCGTTTGGGGCCTTTTGTGGCCGCTCCACTGCCGCTCACGCACCGCCGCAGGGAATGAAACAAAGGAAATGAGCACATGTCGGGCTCGGGGTCATGACCCAGCCCCGGTCGCGGCTACCCATGAAGTCGCAGTGAGGCAGTAGCTCAATGGATAAGTGTGTTGTGGTTGAGTCGTGTCAGGTGGGGTATTGTCGGGAAGTCCGCTCTGCATCCCACCCACGCGGTGGTGAGCGACTCCTTTCTAACCCACCCGAGAGGGTTGAGCGAATTGGTGACCTCTGTGACGGGTCAACCCGCGCTGAACCGAGCACTCAGTGCAAAAACTCGCGCTGCCCGCGGCGTCTGCCGTTGATGTTTCCGGCCGCGTTCAGTGTCCGCTCGGCCACTCAGTACGGTTTGTGGCGGACTCTGCCGACCGGTCCGGGGACCGCCGCGGGGCTCTGGACCGGTTCCTACACGCCGGACGAGCTCTGAGCAGACCGCACCGGCCGCAGACCGGCAGGTCTGACCGGCCTCAGGCGCACGAGGCGCCAGGAACATCGCCGAGATAGCCGCGGCTTCTCTGTGCAGGACGACCGGCGGCGACCTTGCAAGAGCACTGAGGAAACCGCAATAGGCAGCCGCGGTGGGCAGCATCAGTGAGAAGCTGCAGAGAGCGGCCTCCAATCAGGGACCTCTCGACTGATGAGCTGCGGCCGGCCCAGGGTGGGGAGAGCGAGAGCACACACATGCGTCATTAGCGCTGATTTGGAGCAGTGAAGTTGCAGTCAGGCACGAAAAGCCCTGCACCGGGAGGGTATTGTAGAGAATGATCGGGTGTGGCGGTAGCCGGGGTAGTCTGCAGCGAGAAGGTCGTTGTGGCTCTGGGAAGGCGTTGATACAGGGTGGTGAGAGGCTGAGGTCGGTTTGGAGTCGGCCAACTGTGGCGAATGGCTCTTCAGGTGGCGGCTGGGCTGGCTGACCTCGCTCCTGCAGCGCTCTTTGTGCTCGCGAGGGATTCCAAGGGGAAACGACTTCAAAAACAGTATCGGGCGTGCCCAAGGCTGTCCGATATGCACGGATTCGTCTTACGATGGTAAAACTTCCTTACTAAGACAGAGCGCTTGCTGCTTGAAGTGAGCGAGCATGTAGCGCGTTTTAGCGGCTGTAGCGGTTCCTTTTTTTTTGCAAGGGCGTATCTCTGCCGGAACCCATTTGATTGAGTGGGTGCATTATCTGTTGTCAACCAAGCGTAGGGCTGCGGCAACTTGAAGGCCAGTTACGCCGCACCTGCAATCAGTCGTTGTCTGTGGATATTTTGCTGGGTGAGGATTATAATCCACCCATCATGCTCGATTTACAAACTGTAGTTCTATTGACTCAATGACCAAGGTCGCAAGTGGTTTCAATGGTCTTTCTTCTGTCTGTGCTTACGTTGGCCTTGTATCTGCCTGTCCTTTGTCACATATGCCAATCAATGCCTCTCGATGCAGCGAGGCAGCGGACGGTTGGGAATCGTGATGGCGAATTCATTTACCGCGTCGTTTGAAATGCAACTGCCCTGGTTTGAGCTCTTGCAAGGAGTGTGACCGCGGTTTTCCTGGTCGATCACCGAATCTCCGTGCCAGGAATATTTGAACGGTGTTCACTGTGCACCTCTATTCCAACGTCGACTTGCTCGCGACTCTGAACCTCAGTGTGCACGATCTGGAAGACCTTGACTCCTGACGGATCCCACGTGGCTGCCATGGGCGTCGTCTGTAGTGTTTGTCTTGAGGCCATAACTTCACACTCGACGCCGATCGCTGCATGTGTGCGTCGATATATTCAAGTGTTATCTTACAAAGTTGTATGCATAGACCACCTGCAAAGCTCCATGTCACGTAATGTGTTGTCATTTGTTAGGATCGAGTCGAAGATTCTCATTTCTCAGCCCTTGTCGTTGAGCGGTATTGAGACGACTCAATTTGTTGTCTGTGTATTTGTTATTCGAAACGTGTACGAACAGCTGATAACCCTTAAATTGAATGTTGCTGAACGGGATCATCCTATCCTATCCTCGTATAAAGTCAACAATATAACATTATTTATATGTTTTCATGTCTCTTGAAGCGTAAAAAGGCCACTGTTGTTGAACACTACTCGCTAACGTTGATAACACTGTCGTCCGATCGACTTCCTTAGTTCGGTCGCCCGTTAACGTTCCAAGCCCATACGCTGACGTCCATCCTCCTCTGTGTTCCAGTGGGTGGCATGCACCGGCCGAACAAGCCGGCCCAGATCCGCAGAGTGCCCCCGCCGACCGTTCCCGAGCAGACCAGCCACCGGCACAGCGGCAGCAGCTTCAGCAGCGGCTACGGCAGCCTGGGGCAGCCCGACAGCCGCAGCTCGTGTGGCGACGAACACCTGGTGCCGCCCCACTCGCCACTGGACCTGCCGCCCAGCCCCGGACCAGGTGAGCTCGCCAACGTGACCAACGGGTAGGGGATGTGGTATGTTGAATATAATGTCCCTAGCGACAAGTTGGATCGCTGCTCAGGATGCCTTGGAGATGCGGCTAAGTGATGGGCATGTTGCTCAGTAAAACTGACAAAACTGGACACGTACCTATAAACCGTGACTACGCCGTTCCATAATTTAATTCATAGATATATACGCGGCTGCTGGTAGTGGTCACAGAGGTGCCGTTAGGTCATTTCCGTGTGGTTTTCAAACCTCGCCGGGTCATAGTTCTGGAGCGGTGAACTACTGAGTCCTCCTCAGTCTGTCAATTATTAGGTGCTTATGTAGCAACTTGTCATGGCGAAATCACTGGCTCCCACGACCTCCAGCCATTACCTCACAACCTCAGACATGCAAATAATTTATGTTCACATATTTTAAGCCGGTATCGCTCAACTCTGACAGACAGCTCGTGAGGAATTCGTTATTTCATGCTACTATTTCGAATCGCATGCATGTAAAACAAAGGGAATGACGTAAAGAATGTCCGCGCTACTCAAAATGCAAGCAGTGCCTGATGGAAAAATGCGCGTCTGCTCATTGTTGATCATGAAGAGTGCTTCCGAACACTATTGCCCCTTGTTAGCGAGGTATTCTCCTGCCGCACGTGGTCTGTGTAGCTGCTGATCTAGACGAGGACTTCAGTGAGATTGAGACGAAAGCCATCACTTGTGACCACACCTGCTGGTAGTGGTGTAGCTCTCGCCTGCGGTGGCGGTGCGTATTTGGAATTTCCGACCTCGACGAGCGTCTGTGGTAGAAAACCACCACTTTGGTAGGGGAAACTACTGCTGTCTGCTACAATTTGCACTGCATGGCAAGTAGCGACATCTATGCATATACATTTCCGACCTCGACGAAAATCTCGCGGCGCTTCGCGCCGACCCGTGCCGCCCATTCATACTGGAGACCAAAAGAGATTATGAGTTCAGAGTTGTGACAAATACCTAAAGCAACCAGCACGTATGATGTAGGTATACATTAACAGTTAACTATCAGATTGACGGCATGTGTCAACAATTATACCCTGATAGAAGACCGGAGGCTCTGGTTACCATGGTAAAAATGACTCTACTTCAGACGCGTACCGCGTAGGAATTCAGCCCAGTATCGTTGAACAGATAGTGCATCGGCCTGAAAAAAGTACGGTAACGATACCTAATTTTGGGTTTTTAGTCGGCCGATCCGTCCCCCCTGTCGAAAATCTGTGGCGACGCCCCTGGCACGTAGGACAAAAGTACGTATCGCAAATGTTCGTATACAGTACAAAGTAGGTACGCATGGACAAAACTACGTCAAGGACAAAAGTACGCATGGCAAAAGTACATACAGTATAAAGCACGAATGGATAAAAGTACGTCAAGGACAAAAGTACGTATCGAAGAAGTACGTATAGGTGCATTATTAAGTACGCATGGACAAAAGTACGTCAAGGACAAAAGCATATATCGTAAAAGTGCGTACAGCATAAAGTACGTATGGACAAGAGTACGTCAAGGGCAAAAGTACGTATCGCAAAAGTACGTCGAGTATAAAGTACGTATGGCATAAGTACGTCAAGGACAGAAGTAGGCGTATCGCAGAGGTAGGACGTACGTACACTGTACAGTACAAAGTACGTATACCTAGACAAAAGTACGTCAAAGAAGAAAATACGCATCGAAAAAGTACGTAAATTATAAAGTACGTATATCGCTAAGGTACGTACCCTTGCTGACTTGCATAGATGTCGCAATCGGTCGCAACTACAGCGAGACATGCAGTGCAAACGGTAGCAGACAGCAGTAGTTTCCCCTACCAAAGTGGTGGTTTTCTACCACAGACGCTCGTCGAGGTCGGAAATTCCAAATACGCGGTGGCGGTAGCCACAAACATCCTCTGTTGGGCAATCAAAACACAACTGTAAAACGATTGGGACGAGGCCGTACCGCTCTATTCGGTTCGCTTTCTCGCCCGGTAATTGTGGAGGAGTGTGACATTTGACCTGTTCTGCGTTCAGATCCTGTCGCTACGCCGCTCCTGGCCCTAAATCATCATCATCAGTGCGGTTTGTCACTGTGTCGCGTCGCCCAAGATGTCACCCAAGGCCCAACCGAACTCCCTCCTTGCTTGTGGGCAGGGCAATTTGTCCCAATCGAGACGGGCGAGCGGCTGGCCGGCTGGGCACTTAGACCCAATCTCTGCCTCGCGCGGTGTCCGTCTCCGGGTGAGGCCCCGCTCAGTGGCAGAGGTTGCGCCAGAGGTGGTGACCCCGCCACCCCCGCCGGCGATTACAGACGCCGGCCGTGATGGTGGTTGTGGGAAGGGCTGATTAAGGTGCGATTAGGATGGCCAGAGTGGTGGTTGAGGTTGTGGGGGTTGCGAGAAGTGTACGGCGGCGTCTTATTTGGTTGAGATTCATGTTGTGGCTTATGTGGATGTGATGGGGAGGCCAGTGGCATTTCGAAGCAAACCGAGAAATTAAGCTTTTGTCGGGGTGATTCATGTCATTTCTTTTGGAAGATTCGGGCTTGGCCGGTTCGGCTAAGCAGCTTGACTTAAAAATTCTTTTACGGATATTCATCATATGATGTTAAGCTGCTTTGTTCTGGTGTTTCTGATTCATCTGCTGAGTTATCATCACATCTCTCATCCATGAAATCCGGCGCGTGACCAGGACTGCCACATCTTTTAGTGGCTTTAGATCTAACACCTTCTCTGGCCTGTTGAGTGTCAGGGATAATGCGTATCAGATCGACACGCACTGGACAATGACTCGGCCAGTGTGGAAGAGGGCCTGATCAAGCGTTCAGTCAACTTCACCTCGGCACTTGCAGGAGTCGCTCTCTGCGTGCGGAGATCCTTGACGTCGCGTCGTGAGATTCTGCGTTATCGTGTGTGCCTCGGAGGCCTTATCTGACTGCGCTAATGCCAGTAATCCTGAACCCACCAGCAGTTCTGACTGGATTGAGGGCGTCCCACGCCTATGCAATCACAATGTCGCCAATTACGGCGCCAATCATTGTTTGAATTCGTTATCGGTGGCGTTCGCTGCGGGAACCTGACTGCAGAAGGTTGCGTGAAATTGTGGCATGATAAGCGCAATGGAACTGCAGTCACGTCGGTATCGGAATCTAGATCACCAAGTGTGTGTGCAAGAAACGTATCCCTGTCATTTTATGCGTAGTTGATTTGCACGCTATGAGGCACTGAGTAAACCGTTCACAGCGTAATTTACAGTAACTCTTGGCGGACATTTCATATCACTTTTCTCGTGTCTGGGTCTCATATCCAGACAATGCTGCTGTTTTTCTCCAGCACCATCTCCATCCAGCAAACGATCACCCTTTCTCCTGGCTATCACCACTCCGGATTGCTGAGTGAAGTGGCGCCCCACCATGAGTGCCCCGGCGGAGTGCCGAGCCCTGCCTGGGGCCGCGATGACGCTATCTGGCCCGCAACTGCGTGCCGTGACGACCTCCATTGGACCAGGCAGCACCGATACCATCGGCCGCTCCGTGCGCGACTCGTGCAGCCCGCCGGCTTTTTGCCGAGTTTAATCACGCGGAGGGTCGCCCCGGGCCGCTGCGGGCTGCCAGGGGCACTGACCCGGGCGCCGCCGACCGCAGACCTGCGGGCTGTTACCGAAACAGCAGGACACCGGCAGGTGCGGCGACTAGTGAGACGGAACGCCGCCGCGACGATGCGGAACTTGTTTGGGTGTACTAGCGTCTCGAGCGTCTCGGGCGCCGAAAGGGAGGTCGTTTTCTGAATGGCGCTGCCGCGGCGCCGATGCGGGCGTCTGTCACCGCCGCGGCGGCGCCCTGTAAGATTGTGGTACCTCAGAAAACAGACAGTCATGGCGCGGCGCTGGCCAACGCGGCGCGGTGAGACGCGGGACGCGCTCTACTTCTGCCGCGAAGCGGGCTGTTTGTTTTCGTGCGATAGCGATCTGACGAGGACAGCCGCCGCCACCGCCGCCGCCGGGTGTGGTAGAGGTTGGACCGCGGTGTTGGTGTGGAATGGCGGGAATCATCGGAGAAGAGAATGTTGGTGACCAGTGCCGCCATGCGGGAACTAGAGCACCCCGTTGAGATGGGGGCGGTGGTGACAAGGGCTGAGAGGTTGAGCGTGGGAAGAGGTAAGCCGTAAGGGCTTTTTGGTGTACGGTCATCAGGTAACTATGTCAGCCCATCAATATGCCCATTCGACGCTACATTTTATCATCATGTCCAAGCTGGCCTCTGGGATATAGAGCGAGCGGCTCCCAGCCTACTAATTTCGCAATCATCTTGTCCGAAGATGATAAATTTGAATCCAAAGGCTGTGGCGAGAATGCGATGTTACCTTCGATGCCAGCTGGATACTGTCATGATGGAATGCGCTGCCAGCATAGCAGCTAATGAGAACGGTCACATGCCGCACAAAAACCCTGGGCGGGCCGTGAAGCGACGAACGCCCTTAGCGCCGATAACGAAGACGCCTTGGCGGTTGTTTTGTTCCTGTGTCGGGGCGCGGACACTGGCTGGGCGTGGTCGCGGACCCCTGGCGTGATCGGCGTCGATCGAGCTCCTCTCGCTCGGAAGAAACGTGTCCGGGCATTGGTGGAACGACTCCGCCCCTCGGCGAGACCCGCAGCGTCCGATCTCACTGTGAGATAACCCGGCCATGCTCACATTTAGCGCGGCCAGCGCTCACCTCCAAGGCTTCGAGAGCCGAGCGCTCGACGGTCACTTCCTTGTTGCGGCCTGGGTCGACGTCAGGAGTTCCTCGGTGGCCTTCAAGCATCGCATCTCGGCGATCTAAACGGAGCGTTTGAAGTCACGTTCGAGTGAGAGGATAGTACGTTGTACTCTCATGACGCCTGATAGTGGCTTGGTAACCAGGATTTACCGGAGGGAATGCTTTCGCGGGTCGTAAGAGTTAGAGCAAATAACTTTAACCTTGGAAGAAAACCATATAGTTGATGGTGTG